AAAAACAAGGCGGTGTTCAAGATACCGAGTGAAGAAAAATAATAGAATAAGGGTTTTCAAATAGGGAGCCGAGTAATATAGAAACCTAAAATTGAGTAATGACTTTCTTGTGCTGTTTCTACAGCTGAGGGTTTGGTCAACAATCAATTTACCTACCGTCATAGTTTCGGTGTTTTCTGTCCATGGGGAGCCGGCCTCAACGGTGCCAAATGCTTGAGTCCCCATGCCCCACCCCACTCTGACCGCCTTCCTTATCGTTATCGTGCAGGCCGAGACGAGGACCCGCCAGAAATTTTTGTGGTGGGCAGCTTTCAGTGGCATTTTATGCAGTGCTCTCGGTTGCGAAGCTATTGCGCAGAGAAGGCAGTTTAGCAAATTGCTCTTCAATTGCTGCAACACAAGCAGCCACATAATCATTATGGGTTCCTTAAAGCGCAAAGAAGGCCCTAACGGCGCCTCTGCCTCCAAACCACCCCGGACCGCCACCGAGTCGAGACCCTCGAAACGGGCGAAAGCGAGCGAATCGACCAAAGACGACGGCAAGAAGGGCGCAAAGGAACAAAAGTCACCCGCGAAGCCAGCAGCAGCTCCAGTGGTTTCAAAACTGAAGGAGGAAGAACCGTTGTTTCCACGAGGTGGCGGGAGCGTCCTGACTCCCCTGGAGCAAAAGCAGATCTCGATTCAAGCGAAGAAGGATGTCTTGTTCGAGGAGCAGTCAGAGGGGAAGAAGGGTGACAACTCTGCTAGGAGAAAGAGGCGCAAGTCTCGCGCTGCAGAGGCAGGCACGGGCGAGAGTAAAGACGAAGATGCCGTCAAAGTGGAGGGTCTGAACTTCAAGGTAGGACATGACGTGGGAAAACCGCGGGTGGTGCAACGGTTAACTTTCGGATTCTAGCGGCTGGTACAAGGCTCATTGGTACTCGGGACGGTCTGCGCCATCAACGCGCTCGATATTGTCATTGCACTACCGAACAACCTTGTTGGCCATGTGCCCATAACCTCCATCTCCGAGCCCCTGACACAACGGTTGGAGGAGAGTGCCGAGAAGGAGGAAGACGACGATGAGCCTGAGGACGAAGGTGTCGACGACGTTGACCTGAAGAGCTTATTCCAAATCGGCCAGTATGTCCGCGCTTATGTCACATCAACACTAGACGAATCAGCCCCCGGAAAGTCAAAACGTCACATCGGTCTTGCTCTTGATCCGGCGCATTCCAACACTGGTATCTCGGAGCAGGACGTGGTCGAGAACTGCACTCTCATGGCCGCGGTCGCCAGCGTCGAAGACCACGGATTTGTCATGGATATCAGCATAGCCGAGTCCAAGTTAAGGGGGTTCCTGCCGCGGAAACAACTCGACAAGAGCATCCCTGAGGAGAGTCTCCAGCCGGGATCAGTCCTTCTTTGCATTGTGGCAAACAAGGTCGCCAGCGGCAAGGTTGTGCAGCTCTCAACGCTCTCCGATCGCATCGGCAACCCTAAAAGCAGCCCATCCGAAGCTACGACGATTGGCTCCTTCCTGCCCGGTACTGCGGCCGACGTTTTGGTCTCCGAGGTGTCTCAGCACGGTGTTGTCGGCAAAGTGATGGGCCACCTGGATGTGACTGCAGATCTTGTTCACTCTGGCGCCGGGCCTGACGGCGTCGATATTGTGGCCCAGTACAAGGTAGGCTCGCGCATCAAGGCGAGGATCATCTGCACGTTCCCGAACGCAAAGCTGCCGAAATTGGGTATCTCTGTGCTGCCACACATCCTCTCATTGAAGCCAAAGACCGCAAACAAGGACAGTCAGGAGATTCTGCCAACCAGGATCCTTGCTCACTCTGCGACTGTGGATGAGTGCACCGTACAAAGAGTCGAGCCTGGTATTGGTCTTTATGTTGACGTTGGTGTCGAAGGCATTCCGGGCTTCGTGCACATCTCGAGGGTCAAGGACGGCAAAGTCGACAGTTTGTTCGAGAGCAGCGGCCCCTACAAGGTTGGCTCCGTTCACCCCGGGCGTGTGGTTGGTTATAACAACTTTGATGGCATGTTCCTCCTTTCATTCGAGAAGAAAGTTCTTGAACAGCCGTTCTTGAGAATCGAGGATATCCCCGTGGGAGCAGTGGTACCCGGTGTGGTCGAGAAGCTCGTTATTAACCAAGATGGCCTCGGGGGCCTCATCGTCAATATCGCCGATGGAATCTCTGGCCTGGTTCCCGAGATGCACCTTTCCGACGTTCACCTGCAACATCCCGAAAAGAAATTTAGGGAAGGAATGAAAGTTAAGGCCCGCGTGCTCTCCACCAACCCGGCAAGACACCAGCTTCGTCTGACATTGAAGAAAACGCTGGTTAACTCGGAAGCCCTTCCTATCAAGTCATATGACGAGCTGGCAGTTGGTCTACAGGCTCCCGGCACAATAGTGAATGTGTTGCAGCACGGCGCCATCGTTCAGTTCTATGGCCAATTACGTGGTTTTCTCCCGGTCTCTGAGATGAGCGAAGCCTACATTAGTGATCCCAAGGAACACTTCCGTGTCGGCCAAACGGTCAGCATTTATGTCATCAGTTTCGATCCCGAAGCTCGCCGCCTAATCGTTTCCTGCAAAGACCCATCAGCTTTTGGTCTCGAAAAACAGCTCGCTCTCAAGAAGCTGCAAATCGGCGACCTGGTGTCGGCGAAGGTTACGCAGAAGACCGAGGACGACATCTTTGTTGAGCTCACCGACAACTCCCTGAAGGCCGTCCTCCCTGTGGCGCACCTGACGGACAAGTCAGTGAGCAAAACGCAATCAGCGCTCAAGAAAATCCACGTCAACCAAACGCTCTCTGAGTTGGTTGTTTTGGAAAAGAATGAAGCCCGGCGTTCCATCACGCTTTCTCACAAGCCGAGCCTCGTCCAGGCCAGCAAGGAAGGGAAGCTTCTTGCGAGCGCAGATGATGCCCGGCTAGGGAACGAAGTTGCCGGCTTCGTTCGGAATATTACCGCCACTGCTGCCTTCGTGCAATTTGCAGGGAAGCTGACTGCTCTCCTTCCCAAGTCGAAGCTGCCTCGCGATGCCCAGGACAAGCCCAGCTTCGGAATGTACAAGTCACAGTCCCTCACTGTCAAGATCACCTCCATCGACAAGGACCTTGGCCGGTTGGTGGTTGCCATTCCTTCGGTTGCGGACGACGAGGCGAAGAAGGTTGTCAAGCCTACGGAGAAGGCTATCAACTCTTTGGATGACTCGATCACCTCGGCTGACGATCTTGCAATCGGCAAGCTCACGAAGGCTAGGGTAAAGTCGGCGAAAGAGACGCAGCTGAACGTCCAGATCGCAGATAACATCCAGGGGCGGATCGACGTGTCTCAGGTCTTCGATAAATGGGAGGACATTCCGGATGCGAAGCGGCCACTCAAGCGATTCAAGCCGAACGAAATCTTGGAGGTTCGGGTTCTCGGCGTTCACGATGCCCGCAATCACCGCTTCCTCCCCATCACTCACCGGTCCAGTCACTCAGTTCTAGAGTTGTCGACAAAACCTAGCGACCTGAAGGCGGATACACTTCCCGAATCGCTGTCCCTAGATAAAATTGAGGTCGGATCCACCCATGTCGCCTTCGTCAACAATGTTGCATCCAACTACCTTTGGGTAAACTTGTCGCCGAACGTGCGTGGGAGGATCAACGCCATGGAGGCCTCTGATGATCTGGCCAAATTGGCAAACTTGGAGAAGAGCTTCCCCGTGGGTTCTGCGCTCCAAGTAAGGGTACTCGCCGTGGACAAGGAGAAGGAGCGGGTCGACCTCTCAGCCCGGACCTCTGGCGAAGCAGCTCAACTTTCTTGGGACAAAATTCAACAAGGATTGGTTCTGCCGGCCAAGGTTACCAAGGTCAACGACCGTCAAGTCATTGTCAAGTTGAGCGAGCTAGTAGCGGGGCCGGTCCACCTGGCAGACCTCGCTGACGATTACGATGATGCGAATCCCCTATCGCATTCCAGAAATGAAATTGTGCGGGTAGCCGTCGTCGAGGTTGACAAGAGCAACAAGAGAGTGAGGTTGTCAATGAGGCCCTCCAAGGTGTTGAACTCATCCCTCCCTGTGAAGGACAAGGAGGTCACAAAAAACACCAAGCTCGAGGTCGGCGATATCATTCGCGGCTTTGTCAGAAACGTCTCCGACAAGGGCCTCTTTGTGTCGCTCGGCGGTGACCTTGTGGCGCTGGTCAAGATCAAGAACCTGTCCGACTCGTATCTGAAAGACTGGAAAGAGCACTACCAGGTCGACCAGCTCGTCAAGGGTCGCATCATTTCGGTAGCCGAGGGCCGTATTGAGCTGAATCTGAAGCCGTCGGTGGTGGACAAGGACTATGTCCCGCTGACCACCATCGCGGATCTCAAGGAGGGTCAAACCATCACCGGCAAGGTACGGAAGGTTGAAGAGTTTGGCGCTTTTATTGAGATTAGCGGCTCGATGAACCTGTCTGGTCTGTGCCACCGCAGCGAGATGGCGGACCGCAATGTCAAGGATGCCAGGACACTATACAACGAGGGCGACCGCGTAAAGGCGCGGGTCTTGAAGGTCGACCTCGAAAAGAAACGGATCAACCTTGGGTTGAAACCCTCATACTTCAAGGACGGCGAGGCGGACGACATGGATGTTGATAGCGAGGATGAGGACGCCGGCGCGGTTCTGGATGGAGAGGAAAGTGAAGATGAAGAGATGAGCGATGCTGGCGGCGCCATTCTCATCGGCGGTTCCGACGATGAGGATGAGGATGACGAGGATGGGGAAGATGACAGTCGATGTCGAAATGGGGGATGCGGCAGAAGAGGGCCTCACCGGGCCTTGATGGGCCGGTGGCTTCGACTGGACGGCTAATGCTTTGGATGCTGATGAGAGCGCCGATGCCCCAGCGGCTGATGAACCAAGCAAAAAGTCTAAGAAGAGGCGGCAACCTCAGGGTATCGTCGATAAGACTGCTGAGCTCGACATCAACGGGCCGCAAACCTCCAGCGATTACGAACGTCTCCTCCTCGGTCAACCGGACTCGTCAGAGCTCTGGATCGCCTACATGGCCTCTCAGATGCAAATCAACGACCTCGCTAGCGCAAGGCAAGTGGCCGAGCGGGCCATCAAGACAATCAACATCAAGGAGGAAACCGAGAAGCTCAATGTCTGGATCGCCTACCTCAACTTGGAAGTCGCCTACGGTACCGACGAGACCGTTGAAGAGGTCTTCAAGCGCGCCTGCACCTACAACGACGACCAGGAGGTCCACGAGCGGCTAGCAAGCATCTACATCCAGTCAGGCAAGCACAAGGCAAGTCCCCCCTTTTCCCATCTCCATCCCCTTTGCCCCCTTCACAATCCCACCATACTAACTCCCTCCCACAGGAAGCCGAAGCCCTTTTTGAAGACAAGATCCTCAAGAAGTACGGCTCGCGGTCCCCACACGTCTGGATCAACTACGCCCACTTCCTGCACGCGACCGCGGGCCAGCCGGAGCGCGGACGGGCGCTCGTCAAACGCGCCACGCAAATCCTCGGCAACCCAGCCAACACAAGCGGCGGCAGCGGCGTCGGCAGCGCGGCCCAGGCACACCTTCGCGCTGCTGCCCAAGTTCGCGGCGCTCGAGTTCCGCTCCCCGCACGGCGACCGCGAGCAGGGCCGCACCCTCTTCGAGAACCTGCTCGCCACCTACCCGCGCAAGTTTGATCTGTGGAACCAGCTGCTGGATCTCGAGGTTTCGGTCCCGGTCGAGGATGGCGATGTGGCTGTGGTGAGGGATCTGTTTGATCGCGGGAGTAAGGTCAAGGGGCTCAAGCCGCGCCAGGCCAAGGCCTGGTTCCGCCGCTGGGCGAAGTGGGAGGAAGAGAGGGGCGATGCGAAGAGTAGGGAGAGGGTGTCGGCTAGGGCGGTCGAGTGGGCGAGGGCGGCGGGCAAGGGGAAGGGTAGTGAGGCGGAGGATGACGGGGAGGAGGAGGAGTAAGGATGTGTAGTTTTGGTGATGGTTGTTGGGTGGATGGCTTTTTGTTATGTGTAATTAACCGGGATTTTGATATCCAAAGGTGAAGAAGTGATAGATGACGGGTTGGTCAGGAAGCTGTTTTCTGCTCGCCGATTGTACCAATTCAGTGCTCCCATGGTATGGTGCTATTCTTCCTTGCGTTTTCCCACCGAGCTGAATCCAGTTGTTGTTCCAAAGTCACGAGAACGCTACCCCTCCACCTGGTCACACCTCGCCATCACGACTCGACGGCACGCAATGACACCACAACACGACATATGACCTGTGCATGGCCGGCCGGGTCGGCCTTGCGCCCCGGGAACCAGCCGCATCTGCGGGCGGCGGGCGGTTAGCCCTGCACGGAAGAGATCGATCAGATCGATCGAAATCTTGGTGATGATGGGGATTTCCATGGTACCGGGACACGCGTGGCGTTACACAAACAATGCAGGTACGCATTCACAAAGCTGGGTATGACTTCATCCGGATGAATGAGTAGACCGTCCATTAGCCGAAATGGACCTCAGTCTGGCAGAAGGGGAATGTTGTGTGTGAGTTTATGAGGAGTAGACTTGCTGGGCATGGTTCACCATTCTCGCTCACAGCGGGATTCAGTTGAGATACTCATAGAAACTAGCCCAAATGTTTTGAGTGTGTACGGGAAGTGTATGACACGCCGCCAAACGTTGTTGCCAACGTACACACAGTATGCCCATGTCTGTGTGTAGTAAATAAATGTATGAATTGCAACATATTGGTTGACCCTTTCCTGTCAAACGGACTCCAACCTTGATAAACTCAGAACCCGCTTGCTTCCAGATTGGCCTACCCCCTGGGCCCCTGCCCTAACGCCGAAAAAAAAAGGAAGAGCCCGCCCCGTGAAAATAGACAGCCTGGTAATGATGATAGTGTTGAAATGGTGATAGAACGATGCGGCTATGAGATGGCAATGGCAAACCCCAGTTGAATGATTGAACTCCCTCGCATGCAGCAGTAGATGCACCTGTCCCCCTAGGTAGATGCGAAGTGTAATGTCTTGATGCCGGTTTGCCTGCCGGACATTGCTTGTGAAAATGATAATGCTCGGCTGGTGCGGAGTTGATTAAAAGATTTGCTGGTGGGGATTGTTTCGAGGGCCACCCATGGCCGTCTCAGGGCCCAATATCCCATATGCGATGCATGCGGGAATAAAAAATCAGATGCTCGCCATCGTCAGTCGCTTGAAAGCCGGCCGAAATCCGGGCGACGCAATTCGTCGGGCTGCAAACCCCCACACCCCGCACCGCATCGTTTGAAACGGAGTGCGCATCCATCGGGCACTGATGGCCTTTAGGGCGGAAGTTCTTTGGCCGAGGTCGAGAGTACTATCACTAGGGAATCTGACTGGCCCTGGAGTTGAGAGGCGCTACCGCGAAAGAAGAATGTGTTGATCGCGTGCGAAAATCCCACAGGCCGCTTCACAATGTGGCCTTCCCGATTCGGTGGGCCCGGCCGTGTTGTTGTGCGCTTGCCAAGTAATGCCAGTCCTTCCGATGACGACGTTGGGCGGGTCGGCAGATTGTCAAGTTGGTTCTCATTCGCGACGACTCGCTCAAGGTGCAGCTGGTATCGCACGGTGGATGATCCCGCGTGGCGAGTGCTGCAACTCGATTTCGGTGGTGTTTAGTGAGTGACAGCAACCCATCTGGCGGGCACTCCGTCGGGCCCAATCTCGTAGGGGCTGGTGTTGGATTTTCGAGGTGGAAGCGCCCAACGCGCGCGGCCGGGTCGCTGGTCGTCGAGCTTACCGCTCTTCCGCATGGCCATCTCCATGACGGCGATGCGGATGAAATCGGGATTCTCGCGCATCTCGCGTTGTCGTGGCCCCGGCATGGGGTGCTCCGTCACCACGGGTTTCGGTTGCGGCGGCTGCGACGCTGCCGCCGTCGATGTTGACGAGGGGCCGATTGACGGATAAGGCGAACGGCCCGAGTTGGATGACGGACTGCGCGCCCGCTGGATCTTGTAGGTCTGCATCTGAATGGAAGCCGTGAAGGTTCGTAGCGCTGGTCCGGATGCCACAGGCGCGGGCTTCTCCATGCGCGCTGTTGTGGTGGGGTTCAGGTAGCGCCGAAGCGCGGCCGTCGGTTCCTCCTCGAGAGGGGGCGGCCTGCGCTCGTCAGTGTATGGGACCTGGGGGTCGATCGTCAGGATGGATCGCGTGAGGAAGTCCTCGGGCGGGATCGACGAGAAATTCAGGTTGGAGAAGGAGCGTGCAGCCTGGCGCAAGGCTCGTAACGAGGCGGTCAAGTTCGACTTGAAGGCCGACTTGAGTGGGCTGAAAGGTAACCGTGAAGTCTTCTTGTCCGGGGCCTCCTCCTTGCCACTGAATACACTTAGATCCAAATCCGCAATTTCGTCCTCGGGAGATGACAACGGGTGATTCTCTGGTTCGCCGGGTGGTGACGATACTGGCTCCATAGAGCGTCGGGTTGGCTGAATGTTGCGCCTCCTCAGTGGTGTGTGAGGCGACTCGAGCGACGAAAATGTGTTGTCGGTAGTGAAAGAGTTGCTCAGCGACGGCATGGACTCCATTGAGATTGTCCGGGTGGAAAGGACCGACTCGGGAATACTATCGCAGACAGATGTGTCATCGGCCTCGAGGTCCTCGGGTGCCATCAAAAGAATGTCCAACGGGCTCTTGCTCAGCGTTAGACTAAGTTCCTTCTCGGACTCTTGTGCCCTCTCAATGATAGATTCCACAGTCATTCTTTTTTCTGTCTTTGTCTGTCGTAGGCTCCGTGCCGCCTTGGGCGGCGGGATGCTCGTGATGGCCAACAGGGCCGCCACCGAGGGTGGGATAGCGTCACGAGAGTGGGCATCCCTCGAACGGGCCATGGAATGATTCCTCCGGCCTCCATGGTTGCGGTGTGGCTTTTGCGTATGCGCCGGGTGCGTCGGGTCTCGAGATTTCGGTCTCGTCGGGATCTGGACCGGAGTCGAAGTGGTCGTCGCCCGTGTTGGCATCATCTCTGGTCTGGGGGTGCCCGGGGTTCGCGACCCAAATCCATCTTCTCCCGGCCTCTGCAATGCTGCTGACATGGCGAGGCTGCTGTTGCTGGCGGTGGAATCGGTGTTGATAGCAAAATGGTCTTCATATCTTTCGAAAAAGGGCGACGACGGAAAAAAAGATGAAGCACAAGTAGGCGAGAAAGAATCGGCGGCTGGGCGACGTGGCCGAACGTGTGAGGGACCCTGGCTGAGTCGGGACGAGACGAGAAAGGATCGTGGAGAGATGACGGCCAACTGGGCGTAAATACCGGCCCGCCGCTTGCAGCATGCAGGGCTCCCAGCCAGTGTTGTGTAATCCGACAGCGCAGATCAGCCTGGAGCTGCAGAGCGGGTCATTACCGGAATGGTCGGTACACGAACAGGGGCACAGGGCCTTCCTCGGGGCTGCCCTCAGGTGTCCAGGCGAGCCAGGGCGGCCACTCACAGCGTGTTCAGGCGATGTCTCGCGTGCCGCGCACAGGGCAATTCGAGTACGTAAAATGTTGACCCCAGGCCCACCCCAACAAGCGCTGGACCCTGAAAGACGCCACACCCAAAAATTGGAGCGGAAGCTTGTCTTCCAGGCGCGGTGACAGTGACGGTGACGGGGATCTTGATGAAGCCGCGAGGCTGGGACCAGAAGGCCGGAAGTACATAACAAATAGCGGTAAGAGATAGGTGGCGTTCGTTAACGCAACTGCTCCGAGAGAGGGAGAAGAAGAATTGTTGATCATCAACAACCTGGAAGCGGAACCAACCGGCGGCATCAACAACCTAACTAACATAGACTTGTCGCCATCGAGAAAAACCGGAGGGATCCCGCTAGGGTATCAAAACGTGCATGGGGGGCCGAAGGCAACTTCTTATGATCAAAATCGCAGCAATATAGCCAGTGAAGAGCGGAGCATTGATAAGGGTTGCCCCAATTCCCCGTGGTACATGTCATGATGGATGCGTGCCTGTGTGGCACGAGATATGGGTAACGCCCCCCGTTGGCCGAGCCTGTCTCGAGTCCTGTCTAACTAATTAAGACGACTTATCGGCCATGCCAAATTGGCTCCTGACTTCGAAGTCCTCGAGCTGCTGGAATGCCCGATTACACTGTCGGGTGGACGGCACACGAGATGACTTATCGACCCCAGAAGGGGTGGGTGATAAGCAACGACGTCAGCGAACCCTTTATCGGCTTGATTGGCCACTGTCCCTCACGAGACCAAGAAAGTGGTGGGATGGTGACTTGCCCTGCAAGCCTGCTTCCTTCCTCTCAATGAACGCTGACATTCGCACCAGTCATAAACATGCGAGCGTCCCCCTTCTCCCTTGGCAAAAGGACTTGCTCAATAATTACTGTGCAATTCCGAACCCCAAGCACTGTCGTCGGTGGTTGGGCTTCAAAGTGGATGGGGAAGTGGAATGAGAGAATGTTTCCTGACGTTCCATTGCATCCGCTCCACACTTTTTCAGAGCACCTTCCCGCTTTTTGGCGCGGGGGTCCAAGATGAAGTTTGTTGCCTCCGCCTCAAACCTCCCACTTTCAACCCCGAATCTCTCCCGATACTGGTCGGCATCCGGCCCGTCCTGGCAAGAAGACGGATGCTAGGGAAATGGGTTCATAGCCGGACACAAAAACATCAACGGCCAACGGATAAGAGAAAAAGCCCTTCGAAGTTCACCAGGCTTGGCTTGTGGGAAACCCAGCAAGTCATTCGAAGGCCCAACATCCGTTCTTGGCATTCCTCGTCTCGTGAGCGAGACTCCGCACGCAAAATTGCTAGGATGCCACAGGCAAGGAACCACCCTGATAGCAACCTTCGAGAACTTTTCTTCCTTCCACATCTGGAGTTAGGGCCTCGACCTCAACGACGACTTCACCGCTTCGGTCTTGATCGCTTCGAACCGAACGTCGGATTTACCGGTAAGACTTTGACCCTGTCCAACAGGAATCGTAAAGAAATTATAAAGTAGAAAAAGACGAGAGAAAAAGACAGGAGGGCGAGATCTACCAGAAATCCTCGGCTACGGCAAAGGATAAATGCATTTCCCACCGCGGGTCGTAATTCCAAATGGCCTTACCGCGGCTTTACAACGTCTCATGATCGCCGGCCTTCTCCGAGCGGATACACCGGGCATTCGTTTCATCGACAACGGCCTCCCTAGTTCTCTAGGGAATTCCCATGGAATTTCAAATACCACCTTCTAGAACCCGATACAGCGGGCCAAGACACGGGAGTTCGGATAGGGTAGGTAACTAAGGTGAGTGGTTCGAGGTACCGTTACACCGGAATTGTCGTTGTCCAGTCCCCAGAACAACTTCTTCAAGCCCGTGTTCCTTCGGTGAATGGTGCTTCACGTTGGCAAGAAGGACTTCCATTCAACCTGGTGTATATCATTTATCATCTCATAGTACACAGTAGCTTCATGGTCGTGGTATATATGGGTTTGACAACAGGAAAGACAGACGTGGTATCTTGCTCGTGCCGGATTATGCGCAGCCCCTGAAAAACAACAACGGTGTCCCCCCATCCCAAGTAAACAAAAGAAACACTCAACATAAAAAAACCACCATGGTCCGTTAATAAACGAGAGAGAAGAAGAAAAAAGGTCCAAAGCAGTTAAGAAACAAACAACACA